AAGCCCACTAGAGCAGGCATTCTCTCTTTCTGACTCCTGGCTGCCATAATGTGAGCTTTCCCACTGTATCATAACCTCCCCACCATGGGACTGAGCTCCTGAAACCATGTGTCAAAATAATCTTTCTTCCCTTAAAAAGTTTTTTTTTTTTTAAAAAAAGATCACTCAAATGTCTATCAACAAAGAACAGTGGTTTTAGAATAAGAAATTTCTTATCATCCAGGCAGATTTAGCCTGATAGTAATAAAAAACATAACTGGCTAATTACTTAAGCCATCTTTTGTTTTCCACTAGTGTTTCAAATATGCATACTTTACTTTTAATCAGAATGTAAGTTTCATAAAACTCAAGCATTTAGGGACAAATGATATGCTGTATATAATCTACCCTCGCATAATTTGGAAAAGTTTGTGTGCATTTGTGTATGTTTGTGTGAATATAGACACAGATATAGATACATAAAACCTACTGAGAAAAAATGAGCACCCAGGAGAAAGAGTAAATAGTAAAGTAAATCAAGTGAGATGCTAACAACAGATGAATCTGCATAAAGGGTAGGTACGTGGCTGTTCTTTGCACTATTCTTACTGTTTCGAGTTGTTTGGTTTTTTTTTTGTAAAGTTTGAAAATACGTTCAAGTAGAAAAAAATTAATTAAAAAATATGAGTTTCCCAGGAAGCAGTAGGAAATATACTGGAACAGACAAGTATAGGGAACGACCTCCTAAACAGAACTCAAAAGGCTCAGCATCTAAGGGAAACAATGAACAAATGGGACTGCATCAAACTAAAGAGCTTCTGCACAGCAAAGAAAACAGTCACCAGACTCAAGAGACGGTCGACAGAATGGGAGAAAATCTTTTCCAGCTACTCAACCACTAAGAGACTAGTATCCAGAATCTACAGGGAACTCAAAAAACTCAGCCCCCAAAGAATCAACACCCAATGAAGAAATGGGCACATGAATTAAACAGGGAAGTCTCAAAGGAAGAGGTACAAATGGCCAGTGAGTACATGAAGAAGTGTTCAACTTCCCTGGTTATAAGAGATGCAAATCAAAACAACACTTAGATTTCATCTCACCCCAGGTAAGAAAGGCCATTATCAAGGGCAATAACAACAACAAATGCTGGTGAGGATGTGGCCAAGCAGGAACCCTTATACACTGCTGGTGGGAATGCAAGTTAGTACAACACTATGGAAACCAGTATGAAGATTCCTCAAAAAACTAGAGACAGAACTGCCATATGATCCAGTGATATCTCTCCAGGGCACCTACCCAAAGGAACATTGGACAGGACACAGGAGAAAGACCTGTACACCAATGTTCATTGCAGCACTGTTCACAACAGTCAAGCTTTGGAAACAACCCAGGTGCCCTAAAATGATGAATGTATCAAGAAATTGTGTTATATATACACAATGGAGTATTACTCAACTATAAGGAATGATGACATGTGGTTTGAAGGTAAATGGATGTAACTGGAGGACATTATGTTAAGTGAAGTAAGCCAGAATTAGAAATAGAAAAGCCGCATGTTTTCTCTCATACGTGGAAGACAGATCCAAAGAGAAACATATACACAAAAACAAGCATGATCATATACAAACTGAGATGTAGAGCACGTCTGTAACAGTGGAACTGCTCTATGGAACTTGGGGAAAGAGAGAAAGGAAAAGAGAATGATAGAGCATTGGTAGTATCACATAAAATGTGAAAGTAGAGCATATAAGAACTTTTACTGAAAGCTGTTGAAAAATGGGGGGTGGGAGGTAAAGGGGTGAGAGAGAGTAATGGAAGGGGTTGAACATACCAAAGTATAGTATACCCACAGTGGGTACACATTGAGAAACCCCTCTGAACATCAACTTAAATATTAATAACAAAAACCAGGACTGGGAAATAGGTACAGTATGTGTGTGGTGGGGGTACTAGTGGGGGAGTGAAGAAAGCAGATTATGGTGATGGTATATGGCAGATGGACTTCATACACCTATAAGAAACAGAACTAAGAAACCTCTAGCAATTGCTTTAAGTGGGGGTGGGGAGGGTGCTGAGTGGGAGAGACGATGGGGACAATGTAATAATGTACAATGTAAGTGTAATCAGAATTGTCACTATGAATCCCCCCATATAGTGAATATAACCTAATAAAAAATTTAAATACATAAATTATATATCCGTACATATTCCCTAAAGGTGTAACACACTTTCATTTTTTCTTCTACTCACCCCTCTCCCTACTTAGCCCCTACACCACACAAAAGCATAAGCTATAACTATACAAACACTCTTAGTAAAAAAAACAAAATCACAATAAATACATGGTAATTCATAAAGCCAATGAGAATGAACAAAGAAAAATCAAGGGAAGCAATCAGGTCTCAGGTCTCTAACACCTATTCATCTTTGTTGCCTTAAGATAAGGCAAGTCAGGCTGGGGATGTAACTCAGAGGTAGAGTGTGTGCCTACCATGAGTGAGGTCCTGGGTTCCTTTCAGAGAGAGAGAGAGAGAGAGAATGATTTTTTTTTGGTGGGGAGAGGACCTTTCAAATCTCTAGTTTATTTCAAATTTCCCCTGTGTATCTCCTGTAATGTTTTTTACCCTTCCCATCCTTATCACAGTAACACACATGGGACCACTTCCTGGCACTTCACACTTATTTCTTGAAATGTGAAATGTAGTCTCATCTTGAAATTCAATGCACTTTCATGCACTCTATTCAATTAAAGGAAGGTGAGGGACTGAATTGAGTCAAAGAAGGGAGGGATGAAGGAAGACCTGAAAAAAGGTGATAACCAATAGCTTTAATGTTTCTTTATTTACTCATTCATTCATTCATTTATAGTACAGGGGTTTGAACTCAGGAGGACTTCATGACTGCACTACCACTTGAGCCACTCTGCCAGCCCCAATATATTATTTTAAATAGGGAAAAGTGATGGTTTTATACAAGCAAAGAAAAGTGACAGAAAAGAAAAATACAGCAATGTTTGTTTGGTGGATTAGTTATTGGAATGAATAAGAAATCATTTATATTAAATCTCTGATACTGTGAATATTCTAACTTGTAATATTCTAGAAAAAAAACGAGGAATAATAAAATGTCAAAACAGCAGCCCTTAATTCCATGACAAAATTTCAGTTTCTTAAGTGCTTCTGACAGCATTTCTAGCTGAAATAAGTTTCCATACCCTAAGAGAATATCAAGAGAGGTTGTCACCACATGCAGTGAGCATGGACTCTGGAGCTCAAGTTCCTCACTTCGAATCCCAACTCTGCCATGTACTGGCTGTGACACTTTGAGCAAGTGACGTACCTATTCTAAGGGCTTCAGTCTTCTCATGTGCAAAATGACAATAACAACAATACCTAACTCAGAAATGTGAGACAAAAGAGTTACACTGTAAAGTGCTCAGAACAATGACAAGCATGTAAGTTTCTCAGCTCTGCTACATAAGAGCTGAGCAACTTTGGGAAGACACTAAAAATTCTGAACTTCCTTCATTCCTCCTTGTTAACAACATGGAACTACAGTAACCACCTCTTGTGTACTCTACAAAGATTCAGGAATACACAAGGCACCAGGCAAAGTACCTCATGCAAATGAAGAAAGGAGGGGGATGCTAAGTAACCCACACTCCTTCATTAAATAAGAACCCCTGTGAAACAGCAAGCTGTCTTTCTTCCAAGTTTTCACATTTCATAAAACCTGGACCTCTATTCCCAGACTAATGCATTACTCTATGAACAAGACCAATTCAGACACATTCTAAGAGTCGAATGACTTCTGCTACTCTTTCGTAAGGTACCCCTCCACTTTAAAGTGTGTTCAAATGGCACACAGTTCCTAAGTGAAGAAGCCTAAGGAAGACTTTTTCTTTTCTCTGACATTTTTATTTACACACAAGTAAGAATAACAATTACTCAAGGATAAATGAGACTGTATATGTAGCTGCCTCTTCATATTAAACAGACCATTATGTATAAAGAGAACATGTGCAAAATAAAACCTATGAATTAGTATGACTTATTTTTAAGCAATAAAACTTTTGATAAGTTTTGCCTATTGAATAACTGTGCTTTAGCAAGCATTCATAATTAAAAAGCTGTGGCAGATTTATTCAACAAATCATGCTTAGTATTTAATAATACAATGAAGGAAAAACCCACTTGTGTATTTCATAATAAGGTGATTCCTAAAAGATCAGAGATGAAATTGGGAACCATTTCTCAGGAACCCATGGTAATTATGTATCACTGGAACACCTACTGGATACAGCACAAGAGGCTCAAGCCACTGATGTAACTCAGCATCAGCTCAACAGCAAAACCTGGAAGACCCAACTGGTTCTCAAATACTGTAACAACCCTCAACAATTCTAAATCCAGTACGACCAAAAAAGCACTAAATAAAATATGCACCTAAAACAAATATTAAAAAATCAGAAAAATCGCATGCTGATAGTACTGCAGGAGAATAAAACTTATTTCACATCTTAAACAAGTTTCAATACATAAACAATACACTAAGTACCTTGTTAGGTTTACTACTTCATTTACATTTTAAAACAACAGATTTCATTATACCCAATTTTATAAAACTGTTTGTATAGTTCCTTTGCATTATTTTTTCTAAGAAACAGTTTATTTATAATAATAGCAACTGAAACTTTTGAAGGTATTACAGTGTTTGGTAAATAAAAAGCATTATGACTTTATTTGTGAATGTGATAAGAAACTGGAAACTCTCAAAATTTTACACACCTGAGAAGGGAAAAACTTGTACAAATAAAACTCTAAGTTTTACGTGAAGGAATATATACCAGTGCTATAGCAATTCCAAAATTATACCAAAATTAATGAGAATGATAAGCTGGATTCAGAAATACACACTTTATACATATTATTTTATATTCAGTTTGCTTTATACATGTTTTGTTGTCTTCAAAACTCAACCCAAGCGGCACTTATATACAAAGAAGTTAAAGAAAGTACCTTTCATAGATGGTTTTTAATGTCATTTGGTCGGGGACACCTTCGGTCTCTTCCAAATATAAGATGAGCCATGAAGTCCGGTACGGCCACTGCTCAGTGAGGTTGATCCAGCTAGCAAGCCTGTCCCAGTTGAAACTGATCTGATTGGCTCTCAGTAATCGCCCTTTCAGGAATACAAAAACATTTAAAAATTGATGTGTGATAATTATGTTCAGTAAAACATTTACTATATTCACAAGTAATTTAACTTTAATCTTTTAAAGTTCACTCTTGATTGCACCACAAATTCAAGTCCAGTATTTATGTAGTTCCTAAGTCTCTATTTTAAAGATAAAGGCTCAGGCAGCGTGTGCCAGTTACACCTGTGAGGAAAGATTCTAAGGAACTAAAATGATTCTGTTTCATTCTAATGCACTTTCCCTGATTGACTGCTCGTGCCATACACTTCTTTGAGTGTATAAATGCAGGCAGCAATCTTTCCAAATGTCTATCACACAGTCTCAAAGCTGCCTACAGACATGCAGTACAGTATCAACTCACCCATGGTACTGCCCAATTCTCTAAAGTACTATCTGCTAAGATTCTATTAGTGAACCTTAAAGAGATCCAAAATGCTGATCTGTTCTGGATTTATTATGGGTGATGTGCAGCCCCACATGCTTTCATTTTTATGTACTATGAGTAGCTCATGTTACTAACCTACCAAGTTATGATACTTCTAAAATGTGTTATTTATATATTGAAAAAAAAAACAACCCTGTCTGTTTCTGGGGCTTCTGAAGTTTCTAAATCAGTGTCTAATCACTGGGCATGCTTATATACACACAGCTGCAATCCTCAAACTTTCAGAAACAATGCTTCTTTTGTTACATAATCAGTGAGTTTCACCTTGACTTGGTAAGGATTACAAATTAATGATATGTTGCTTTTTAATTTTGAAACACTGTCAGTTTCACTTCATTGTTACCAGTTCAGTTTGTATCTGGAGTAAGACAGCTACTTGTGCCAGGAGTCAGTGGCTCACACCTGCAATCTTAGCTACTTGGGAGACTGAAACCAGGAGGAACAGAGTTTGAGGCCACCCTGGGCAAACAGTTCACAAGACACCATCTCAAAAATAAACAGAGCAAAAGGGAATAGAAGCTGGCTCAGGTGTAGAGCGATCCTGAGTTCAATCCCAGTGTCACCAAAAAGTAAAAATAAAAGATATCTACTTGTTTTGGTTCAAAGATGAATTATCCTTTTTTTCCTACTACTAATAGACATGAATGTGTAACTCCTCACCCAATTTCTCCCACATTGCCAGACCTCATTTCTCAGCAAATCTGCTTATACATGCAAACTATACTCTCATCACTGAATTCCTTTTCCCCAGAAGGTGAAATCAAGTATGCTAGATCAGTGACAAGGTTTTACCTTCCATCAACTGAGCTACAGTCACAAGCATATGAGAGCTTTGAAAACTCACAGAGGTATCACAAACAGTAATGTACCAATGCTGGGGATGAAATGTTTTACAAAAAAGATACAGTCTCACCTTCATGAAGCCTACATACACTCAGGGGAGCAGAGAATAAATCATACAAAAAAAAAAACCTATGGAATGAATTAATCATAAATTGTAATCTCACAAGTAGATCCTCTCTTAACAGAGCACAAACAGGTCAACAGAGAACAGACAATGGAAAACAAACCATTAAAACATGCTTGCAACACTGACAGTGCACTTCTTCTAGAACCGTATGCTGATAAGGAAAACTTTTAGAACTGAATTGAGGACATAGGTTATAATAATATACCAGTGAAACTTCTTCTCTTAATCGCTGCATTTGATCCGCAAAATAGAAGCTTGCAGAAAGGTAGTGAATACCTCAAAACCTCCTACACTGAGTTTTTAGAATTCACTCATCCACTATGCGAGTTACTGAAGAGAGAGAGAGAAGACCTAGCCTCCACCTGAAAAAAAACTGAGGACAGTTTGTGACCGATAAAGAAATTAAAAAGACAATTACAAAGTTATCAGATAAGGGCTATTCTACAGATACACAAATACGACTACTACGTGAAAACAAAAACCTGAGTACCAAATCCACAAGCAGCAGGTAAGGAAGGTCATCTTCCTAATGTGACTTCCAGAACTAAGCTATGTAGGACTGAGCATGACTTTATCTGCAGAGGGAGGGCTGAGGCAAGAGAAGCGATTCAAGTCACGAAGAACGGGTACTTACTTACATGCAGAACTGGAAAATTACTTATAAAGAGTGAGTGAATCAAAATAAGTTTTGTACCTCAAGAATATATCAAGCCTATAGGTAAGAAAATAACAGTAAGAGACAATTTTGCCCAAAGAAGGTGTCTAAGATTATTTAATTTTTCCTTCAAAATAAAACAAACTTCAAATGAAGCACACTGGACAAATAAAGCATGGTTTTAAAGTAAGAATCCACTCAACTAAATACTTATCAAATTTGGTTCTAGAACCCAAACTTTGTTTGATACTACTACATCTATGGTATGTCTTTTCTAATAGTGGTAACTACTTGCATACTTTCCTACAGATAATATACATTTCTGCATAAATGGGAATGGAGCCTTCAAGAGGGTAAATAACATGCTCAGAGCTCAAACCCAAGCCCTTTGCCTGTGCCCTGTCCCATAAAATATATTTACTTACATACTTCCAATTAGTTTTATCCAATTGAATGAAAAAATTTATCATGAAAACTATTGAAATTTCATTAAAATACAAAGGTTAAACTCTGTAAGTTCCTTTTCAACATGATACTTTTTTTTTTAAGCAATGAAAGCAATGACACTAAGAGCTTCTATGAAATGGAAATTTTAGGGCTGGCAGAGTGCTCAACTGGTAGAGAGCCTCCCTAGCAAGTATGAGGCCCTTAGTTCAAATCCCAGTACCACCAGAACATAAAATGGAAATTTTACCAAGAAATCTTTCACTGTCAGTCAGAGCTATATTTAATGAAGCAAAATAAAAACGTTTCTGGTTTAACGATTTAAAAAGTCTCCTATGTAGTCAAAGACTAACACTAGAGAAATTCTTACGTTGAAGATATGGCTTAAGAAAATGGTTTATTTCTACTCAAAAATGTGGAAATATAGTTTCTAAATGTGGAAACATCATTATTTTTTAAATGTGTATCTCCACTATCGATTATTAAATGATGTTAACTTGGGTCTCTTTAGAGTGCCTGAAAATGTCTAAGTATAATCCAAATTCCTTCATAAGGATTTGTGGCCTGGAAGGCCCAAAATGAACTGGCCACTGGCTTTCTCTTTGACATCACTCCCCTTTTGCCCCCCAGCACCAACCACATTGACCTCCAGCTGTTCTAGAATCCCACCTCAAAGCCTTCACACTTGTTGTTCCTCCTGTTTAGAATGCTCTTCTCAAGAAATATATAAAAATCAGTTCTTACTATTCCCTTATTCATTCATAACAGTACTGAGAAAATAGCAAGACAGCAAAAATCCTTGTTATGTGGATTTCACATTCTACTGAGAGACAGACAGACAAGAAAACAAAGAATATAACAGAATTTATTAGAAATGGGTTATTCTCTGAAGGAAAATAAAGCAGAGAAGGGATACATCAAAGAATATGAGAGGGAAAGAGACAGACAGAGGGAGAAGGAGAGGGAGACAGACTGGGAACAGTGGAGTCATTTTATGTCCTGGAAGGTCTCAATGAAAAGCTGACATTTAAGCAAATGCTTAAAAAGCAGTGAGAAAACGCACTGTGTATAAATCTAAAGAATGATCATCAAAGGCAAAGGAAATTAAACATTGGTTTGGATAGAAAAGGAAAGCTCCAGGAACTGTACCCAAGGGCATTACAATGCTAAATGGTAAGAAGAGATGAAGAGTAACCAATAGAAGCAAAGAGGAAAATCCAGTAAGCACAGCACTCAGGAATCCAAAGGAAGAAAGTATTTACAGAAGAAGTGAACAAAACATTGTCAAATAGTACTAGTGGGTCAAAGGAAGACTGAGACCTGACCACTGGAATCTGTAACATGGAAGCCACTGGGTCACCCTGAAAATATAATTTTTCTCAAGTTCTGAGAGTGAAAGAGTGTTGGAGTGGGTTCAGAGGGAAAACAGAATGAGAAACAGGGCTAGTCAACTTTTAAGGAGCTTTTCTTAGAAACAGGACAATGGTTAGAAGCAGAGGTAGCATCAAGACAAGTTCTTCTGGGGAAAGGATGGGGCAGTCTTATACTCAGGACTGTGAAGGGGAGTGTTATCTCCATTTCACTGCATGCCTTCCATCCTCCTTATCCTTACATGACATTGTATCTTTCAGTCTTCCCATTTGGGAAGAGGACTTTACTGCTCACCACTTAATCTTTGTAATGTCCAGACCAATACTTGGCAAAAAGTAGACACTTATTACATATTTGTTAATGAGTATATAAATGCTGTTGATAATATAATGAGAGAGTTTCATTGTCAAACATAATCAAATCAAGTACAGTAAGGGTGAGACTTTATTTAAAGAGAGTTTACAGTCAGAAATATCACATTAAATGCAAACTCACTTATACTACAGTTCATAGCATGAACCCCACCTTTAGTATAAAACACAAATGCCAGAGTAGACAACATGAAAGTTAGTTCTAGGAAATATCACAAAGTACCAACCAATACCATGCAGGCTACATTATAAGCATTTATATGATGATTATAATGCTAATTAGTAACTAAGTAACCACATGGTAAAGACCAGAATTCCATACAAAGAATTCAGTCACAAGGCAAAAATTCTCAATTTTGTTGTAACTGTTTTTACTTAAATGAAAATTAAAACAGCAGGATATAAAATCTGAATTTTGATCTTTTATATTAGTTATACCCAGTTACATGAATTCATAAATTATCTTTATATGTGGAGAAAATTTAAACCTAAAATGAAGCAAATAATTTAAAAGCAATCAAATTTTAAAACAGTATAAAAGTGATGGCTGACTTTCATGGTCAACTAACACTGACTTCACGAGATCAACAAAGTTGATACCCAGCAACATAAACATAAGAACACAACACATGCTTTTGTTTTTCAATTAAATTACTTTGGTAACTTTAAAGCTTATTGTCAGGACTGGGCTGTAGTCCAGTGGTACAGTGCCAGGGTTCCATCCCAGTACTGCGAAAAATATAAATTAAATAAAATAAAGCTTATTAACCACCACAGATAGTAAGAACAAAAGTCACCTGTGACAGAAACAATATTGAGTAATCTTCTCATGGTCTGAGGACTGATGTCACTGAACCAGTCCTCGGTAACCAGCAACTTTGTGAGATCAAAAGACATCTGCCGCGTGATGGTCCTCTGTATCTGCCTTCTGCGGTATGTGTCCTGCAACAGAGCATCCTCAGTAAGAGCAAACCCACGCTTCAAGTCAGAGGACAAGTCAGGCAGGAAGAGTACATGCTAATAAGCTCACTATTACTGCCATCTGGGAGGCAGAAACTTCACAGCACAGCTCTAAAGAAGTATTAGCAGGAACTGCATCAGGTGCTTTGGTTTCCCGTCAGCTGCATTGCCATCTGCAGTTACACAGTTAGAGAAATCTCAATGCCTTTCAGATTCGAAGTAAGAAGAGTGTGTAAAAAGAATCACATTCTAACTTTGTGGAGGCTCAGTACTTACAGGAACCCTAAAAAATGAGGCAAATAAGCTGCTGTCTGGTTTTAAGGATTCAGCATTACGATTTTTAGGTTAAAGTATGTGACAATGACTTCACAATATCCTCACATCTCCATAAGAATTAGACACTCTATAGGGGTGGACTGGGATGAGGGACCCCAGTTCATAAGAGAACAGGCACAACTAAGCTGTGTCCTCAGCTGGGAATCAGTGGCTCACACCTGAATCCTAACTACTGGGAAGAGGGGATCAGGAGGATCTCGTTTCATAGCCAGCTCAGGCAAATAGTTCCTGAGACCCTATCTCGAAAAAAAAAAAAAAAACCAACACAAAACAGGGCTGCTGGAGTGGCTCAAGTGGGAGAGTGCCTGCCTAGCAACTGTGAGACCCTGAGTTCGAACTACAGGACCACCTGAAAAAAACATGTGTATCCTCATCTAAGGTCCTGTGCATGGGAAAGGTGGATGCAAACACATGTGCCCAAGAGTCCAGACTCCCAGGCGAGAAATTCAAAATGATAAATCATACACTCCTCTGAATTTAGTGCTATCAATTATCATTGGTCATATTTACTCTGCACTCACACCTATAAAAGATAGAACGCATAAGATCAAAATGTCACCAAAGATACATTTTTTAAAAAGTAAAATGTCCAAATTGAATGGTACCAACTGCAAAAAAAAGACAATGCCCATACTAGACCACATTAGCTGCCCCTAAGCGGCACTATCACCACACGTTCCCTGCAACTGGCCATCTTCCTGTGTTACATAAATAGACAGAAACGCAGAGCATACCCTTATCCCACAGAAGCAACAGGGAAGCAGACAGGGACAACTAAAGGGCTGGAAAAGAGACCCAAGGTGGCTGGGAAGGGCCCAGAATCAATATGTTGGTATAGAAAAAAAGAGTACACAGACTACAAACATGGGCAAGGATGAAGATAAAGCCAGTTTTCTCACACTACAGTCCTGTCTCCCTTACAGCTATGGTGGCAACTGACTGATTTCAACCTGCTCAGGAATGATCACAGTGGATGAAAGCATTTTGGTGAGCTCACTCTGAGGTTTTGATTCAACTGCTCTAGGATCTGGGACAGCACAGGCAGAGATGACTGTTCTCTCGATTTAAGGTTGTTTTGGCTCTAAGTACAGACATTCTCTGAAACTCCTGAAAAATCAATCGTAATGTTTATCTGAAGAGGTTCACACAGTATTTACAAAACACTATTTTAAAATACCTGCGATACAAACATATATCTAAGAACAAATCAGGCAGGGATGTTTCTCAATGGTAGAGCGTTTGCCTAACATGCATGAGGCCCTGGTTCAACCCCCAGTGCTATATGGAAAATTTAATTAATTAAAGCAAAGCAAATGGCATCTTACCCGTCTGTTGAGGGCTGTTTTGCTACCTAGTTTTGTCAACTCCCCAAGACTGTTCTGTGAAACTCTCCTATCAGCATCTTCCTGTATCCCTGAAGGAAGGGATCAAGAGAGCAGCATTTGCACCAAGTACTGTTGTACGTGACATTAAAGCAATGTGAAATTCCAACAGTAGTTGTCAAGGTAAAAAGAAAGACACCATAAAGAACTAGCACAGTACGTTAAACCCAAGGACTTTGGGAGCTTCGCAGTTACCTGCAGCATCTGAGCATGACAGGTCCCCGTTTGCTGCTGAAGTCACAAGAAATTTCCTTGCGTTGCTGAGCCCACGACTATTGAGGAAAACGGGCAAGTGAACTATGTTGCGCATGTAGTCATGTCCGTTTATGTTTGAATCGCGAAGCACGCTATTGAGGTTCTGGTTAATGGCCTTTATGATAATATGTGGATCACTTGCAAAAATGGCAATAAATGGGCCTTTTGAAAACAGAATTCGGACCTGCGGTAGAAAACATTGTATGGTTGTGAATAAATTTTAAATTACCCAAAATAAGAAGATGTACTTTTTAAATCTGTGCTATTCTTTAGTGATTATATTTTTGAAGTAGTATTATTTCCCATCAAAATTTATTCTATCTCAACAGAAATTTTACTGATGGCTCCACCTGGGGTTGCCATCATCTGACAGTGACAAAACTTGCAAAGAAAACAATACTCTCCTACACACGGGGTCAGATCAACACACACAAAAATGTTCCTGAGTACACAGGAGGTCCTGGACACACTTTCTTCCCCAGTGTACCACTGCTGCTTATAACAAAACTTACAGTCTGTGACATGCCCCTTAAACAAAAACCCCTCCTATAAATTCTGTGGGTTCCCTATGTTACTGCACAGTGTAACCATAACTATCTAAAGAAAAGCAAGATCCACACTCTGGACTTAAGAAATGCCACATCTGGTTTTTTCCTCACCCTGTCAGTAAGCTAAAACTATCTAAGTCTTCATGACAAAAACATTTACTCTTGCTATGTTTCTATGTGAAGAATGGTTGTTTTTACAGAACAAAAATCACAAGAGAAGCCAGAACCACTCAAATAAAAAGCAGTTTCCATTCCAAAGTATTCTGTGAACTCATGCATCCGTCCATTGCCACACAGTGACAATGACAAGTTTCACGACGGTTGAAACGTACAGTGTCCAGCATCTGAAGGACTTTGTCCTGCTCGCAGGCATCTAAGCCGTCAATGATGACCACCAGTCTTGTCTGATTCTGAGTGAAGCTGTCGATGGCTTTTGCCATCCTGGCCATCAACTCCACTTCACACTTCAGAACCTGCAGGAAGCACAGGAGACATGAGAAGGTTAAACACATTTCTTGAAAACTATGACAAAAGTTATCTATTGGAGGAATACTAACTCAAAGTCCTCGCTACCAGCTGTGGTTCCATTCAAAACTGTACCCACTGTTTCACACTTTACAAAGCAACGACATGGAAACTTAACCTTCCCACAGGCACTATCAAGTAGACACTGTTATATCATTTTTTAAAAAGACAAACTGGATTGAGTGACTTACTTGCTGAAATCATAAGCTCTGAATGCCAAGACACTTGATCAGAACACAAATCCAAAGATCTAATGATTTCACACTACTGTGAAAAAGATCTAATGATTTCACACTACCTGGTGACATCTGACCTTGATCAAAGGAAGGGGCTTCAGAATTCTATGAATCCATTTAGGGTGAAAAAGTTTGATTTGGGTCTAGAAGTAAGACTTGGTTAAGTGTTTCCTAGCATTTAGAATTTGTGAAAATCCAGGTTCAATCCATGGCACAACCTGCCCAAAAAAAGCATCTTCCTACTTCATATTTTGGTAGTTTAATTTTAACTTACTAGACCTTCTCCCTTCTCCTTCCCTTCTCCTTCTTCTTTCTTCTCTCTCCTCTCTCCCTCTCTCCATCTCCATCTCTCTCTCTCTCTCTCTCTCTCCCTCCCTCCCCCTCCCCTCTCTCTCTGTCTCTGTGATATTGGGAGCCACTTGAGAGGCAGGGTGCTAGTTCAGTCCCTCTAGTTCAGTCCCTTGTTTCATTTATAATTTTTCAGATGGAGTCTCAGGCTTTTGCCCAGGCCACCCTTAGGCCACAATCCTCCTACCGCTGCCTGCCAAATACCTAGAACTGCAGGCACGTGCCACCAAGGTCAACCTTCAACTTGCTTCTTTAAAAACATTTTTTCGTAGAAGTATCATACATTGGTATTATAATACTGGATTGTAATTTCTGTAGCTGGTTTAACTTACACCTTACTCACCAGCCTGCTGAACTTATCCCTTTTTCAGAAACATAGATACCACCTCAAATTTTTCTAATATCCTTGTTTTTAACTGTTGTGTCTTGCTGAATCAAAGTGGCTGAATTGGCAAGTTATGGAAACAGCCAAGATGTCCCACCACTGACGAATGGATTAAGAAAATGTGGTATCTATACACAATGGAATTTTATGCAGCCATGAAGAAGAACGAAATGTTATCATTCGCTGGTAAATGGATGGAATTGGAGAACATCATTCTGAGTGAGGTTAGCCTGGCTCAAAAAACCAAAAATCGTATGTTCTCCCTCATATGTGGACATTAGATCAAGGGCAAACACAACAAGGGGATTGGACTATGAGCACATGATAAAAGCGAGAGCACACAAGGGAGGGATGAGGATAGGTAAGACACCTAAAAAACTAGCTAGCATTTGTTGCCCTTAACGCAGAGAAACTAAAGCAGATACCTTAAAGCAACTGAGGACAATAGGAAAAGGGGAACAGGAACTAGAGAAAAGGTTAGATCAAAAAAAATTAACCTAGAAGGTAACACCCATGCACAGGAAATCAATGTGAGTCAATGCCCTGTATAGCTATCCTTATCTCAACCAGCAAAAAACTCTTGTTCCTTCCTATTATTGCTTATACTCTCTCTACAACAAAATTAGAATAAGGGCAAAATAGTTTCTGCTGGGTATTGGGGGGGGAGAGGGAGGGGCGGAGTGGTGGTAAGGGAGGGGGTGGGGGCAGGGGGAGAAATGAACCAATCCTTGTATGCACATATGAATAATAAAAGAAAAATGAAAAAAAAAAAAAACAAAGTGGCTGAATTGGAAACAAGTTCAAAATCATTTCATTGAGGAGTAACTCATCTTTCTGGGCTTGAGATACTGAACAAGCAACACATGTCTTCATACGCACCCTGCAGGTGTATTTTTCACCAAGGAAATTTGTGATTTCAACAAGAGACACATTCTACTGAATAATGGTGCTCATGGGGAAGTAAGCATACACAGACCTCATCTTGTAATGGAAGCCCAGTGTAACACCCTTAGCATGTTCTGTGCATGACTACAGACAGTGGGAATGGGAGCCAGTTCCTTTCCATTTTCCCAGCACGTCAACCCTGAGCCTCTTCTTCCTGAGGAGGCCGAGTTCCATCATGCTGAAGTCCTGAAATCCTTGATGAGCACAGGGTTCCTCTGGAGCACTTGTGTGACGGTAATGTGCACATTTGCTGGAATGCCGGCCATGCGATGGCTGAGAATGGCCTTCATTCTGCAGTAGTGCTCGCAAACTTGCCACATTTTAAAATGAGCCTGCTTGGTGGAGCCAGGCTCTCGAGGAACCATGTTACTAGGTGGTGGTGACTTGCATTTGTGGAATACTCTGCTAATTACTTTGAATAATTTATAAAAGTCTATTTTACATAAAACAGACAACTAATAACTTACCTCAATCCAACATGTATATCCACAGGAAAATACAGATAAAACTAATAGTAAATGCAGCAGCTTCAGGTCTTCAGGTCAGCAAATAAGCAAATAGGAAGTAACCACTCGATTATGCACACGTATTTGTGTGTAAATATATGTTATAGGTATATATTGATATATATAAGTGAAATGAACAAGCAAGGCTACAGGGGATGGGAGGAGGAATTAAGATTACTTGTTAAGAGAATCACACTATTCCTGAACTGGCACAGTACTATGGAAAGTGGGATTGGAATAGTTACAAATGTATACTGCAAACTCTAAAGCAGCCAGTGAAAAAAGTAAAATATACATAATGATACACTACAAAAGTGAGAAAACAAAATTATATGAAATGTTGAAATAAAAAACACAAAAAGCAGAAAAAGAAGCTGAAGACATACAAGAACACATAACAAGTATCAAATGAAAACAGTAACACATATGTTACATACTAATCCATGTATGTCCATATTCACTCTGTCTGCCAATGGTCTAAATGCACCAATTAAAAGGCAAAGATGTTACAGTAGATTTAAAAAGGACCAATTTTATGTTATCCACAGAAATCTCCTTGAAGTATGAAGATGCAGATGAAAGACAGACATGTGAATAACAATCAGAAGAGAGTGGAAGTAGCTATATTCATCTCAGACAGGACAGACTTCAAAGTAAGGAAAGTTTGGGATATGTCTTATATATGTCATTTTTTAAAGACCTTCACAGACACTTGACCAAAGATAATACAGAAGGCAAATAACCATGAGAAAAGATGTTCCACATCAGATGTCATCAGGGAAATGCAAATTGAAACAGTGATATACCCATATATACCTATTAGAATCCTTAAATCTAGACTGCTGATACGAAATGCTGACGAGGACATGGAACAAAGGAACTCTCTCCTTCACTGCTGTTGAGAACACATAATGATATAAACATTTTGGAAGACAATTCGGCAGGGGTCAGGAGGAGGTGGCTTTTTTTCTTTTGTGTTGTTTTTGTTTTGAGATAGGAACTCGCTATGTTACCCAAGCAGGCCTGGAACTCATCATCTTCCAGCCTTAGCCTGCATGCCCAGTTTGCGGTGAGGGATGTTGACAGCAGAAGGAGCTGGGTCTGTGTAAGAATGTGGGATATTTGGGATATTTCCGTATATTCCTCTGAATTTTGCTATAACCTAGAAGGACTTTTAAAAGGTACACTTGAATAAAAAATAAACTAAGTTAAACTAAACGCAACAGGACTGGGGTGTAACTCAGAATGCTTGCCTAGCATGCACAAGGATTTGGGTTCAACGCCCAGCAATGCCAAAAACACAACAAAAGCAACACCAAAGCCTAACGAACATGGTAGCGACACCGTAATTCACATTACAATTTCCGATTATCCAGTAAAAACTTACTTTCATGAATCCTTCACTTTTCAATTGTGCAATTTGGAAGCAGCGTGATGGAGGCGTTTTCTTTGAGAATTCAAGAGAGAGTCCAACACTTGCCACCATGTACGAAAGTTCAGCACAAAGGCCAACCCCACCATAGACGCAACTGAGATGAGGACAGCATTTACTGTCAGATGTTTTGGGTCAACTCGGAATAGAGCCAGAAGAGTAATTCCAGCAATAATGCAGCCAAAGAAAAAAGGAAGATGACAAATGATGGCAGACAGCAGTTTTTTTCCACTTCTTTTTACCTGTAAGAAAACAAACGGTTTTAACAATTAGTGACATATCAAATATGTCACAGCATCTGATGACTCTGTTAATCAACTCCTGTTTTCATGAAAACCCTCGACCCGTAGACATACACAAAGAAGGAAGGAAGGAAATCCTACCCTGAGTATCTTCAGTCTTGAATACTCGAAAAAGCCTGGTTGCCAAAAAAGCCAAACTCTCTCTCACAAGCATCTGAGAGGGTTGCGATCATTTCAGCCAAGGAAGTTTCTCCACCTACGCTGGACAGCCTATTGTAATCTGTAAACAAAAATCTTGGGGGAAGACCAAGCAAAACATTACTCAAACAACTACAGCAACAAATAACTTCACAGTAAGTCATTTCTGAATCATTTACTCTACATTTTTGATGCTCCTTTGAAATACTGTATTAAAATTCTGAGGAGGGAAAGAACTTGTACTCAGATGCCTTCTAACTTTCAACATCTTCATACTTCCCTTAGGAAACAACAATAATGAAAGGTGGCAGCACTTGGTATCAGAATATGACCAGAAAAGTGGCACAAAGAAACTTTTCTAAAACCACCTCAAGATTTCTTAACATGAGAAAATATTAATAATACTCATGAAGAATTGCAAACCCCATAGCATCATTTAAAAACTTGAACATTTCTCTTTTCTTTTCTTTTTCTGTTACTGGGATTTGAACACAGGGCCTCACGCTTGTCAGCAGTGCTCTACCACTTGATCTACTCTATCAGCCCCTAAAAACTCAGGTTTTCTAATTCTTATTAATAGCTTCAACATCAAACATGAATTTAGATAAAGTTGTAATGTTCTTTCCATAATTCTTCTTCAAAATAACTCAATTATTTGTGCCTTGAGCTGCTGAATCATTATTTCAGCATTACTTCCTTTCTCTCCTTCCACGTAACTCTCATCTCAATTCAGAAGAAAAGCACTGCTTTCAAAATACAACCTGGGATCACACTGTATTATATTCTGTGGTCTTGACTGATGCTATTACCGTTGTTCTAACTTTTTAAAACTACAAACTCATTAAAGTGGTTTTTTTCTCATATTCTGTAAAAATATTTCGCCTATTTTACTCTATTCTGTATGTTTTCCTTTTAACATTTTCTTTTTAAACTTCTGTTTTAAATCCTTTTCTTAATACTTAATCTTACCTGTTAATTACGAGAGCCCCTCTGTATTCATGGGGGACTGTTCTAGGAGAGGTCAAGTCCCTTATATAAAATAAAAAGTATCTGCATATAAACTACACCCATCCTTGCACATATTTTACCTATTATAATATAGTGCTATATAAACAGCAGTCACTCTGTACTGCTTCGGGAAAAATGACAAAGAAAACAGTCTGTACACTTTCAGTACAGGTGCAATTTTTAAAATAATATTTTCAATCTATGATTGGTTGAATTCGCCGATGCAAAACCTGAGGATAACAGATGGCTAACTATACTTGTAAATGTTTACCTTTACTTCTCTCTCATACACACCTTTTATGGCATGATCTATTTATTTTCCTCTTAAATTACACATATCTTACCTTATTAGAATTTAATGCATTTGAATTTTTGCTAACTCCTATTGAAGTTTGTTTGGTTTTAATTTTCTATGTTTTCTCTTTTTTTTTTTTCACTGTCATCTGGAGCCCTACACATTTCCTTTATTCTTTGGCTTAAAAGTTTTTCAAAAAAAAAAAAAACAAGTTTTTCATCTTCCCTGTTTTCCCATGAATTTCCTATTTATTATGAATAATAATTTTAGACAAACATGCAAACATATTTGCAGTAATGAGGAACAACCAGCTCAGAGAAGCAAGCTGAGTTTCCGGAGGTTACACACTCATTTAGGGATGTTCCAAATCTCCAATCTGGAGCTCATAAGCCAAGGTGCCATTTTTAATCCAATGCTCTTTTCAAAGTGTGTGAGCAGGGCCAGTATAGCACAATGTAGAGTGTTAGCCTACCAGGCATGAAGCCCTGGATTCCATCTCCAACACTGCTATTAAAAAAAAAAAAAAGTCCAAAGGATGGTTACAGGTAACCAAAAGAGGGAAAAGAAGGATTATGCAGAAATAAACTGTGGTAAATCTAAGTTAAACAGGTTTCATTACAGAAAAGTACATAGGAGAGAGATACACTATGAAGTGTTTTGTTTTCCAAATGCATTTTGGCATGTTTTTATTTTTTCGTATAAAAGATTCAATGTACCAAAACTTTTTGGAACAAGATACATTACAACCTTATTAAGTAAAAAAAAAGTTTTGCTTAATGAAGGGACTGACTCACCTCACAGGCAAAGCTTTTGTAGTTTGCTCTGGCAGTTCAGGTGGGTTCACAAACATGAGTCTGAAGAGAAGTTCCAAATAGCCAATATGCCTTGCCAATCTGGTACTGATGGCCCAGGCCCAATTCCAACTCTCTCCTTCCCTTCGTCCACCAAAGTAAATGACAACTGAAATGCAATTTTAAAAAGATTACTGAAAACAATCACTACTCAGGCAAGTTCTCTTCTACAAATAGTTAAGTAATGAGTAATGACAGCTAAGCTTACATACTTTTTTATGGTCCCACACTAATTCCTAACTACTCCTCAAGGAATTCATCAACTAACCTTCCTCAACACATGGAAGGCATGTAAAACATGCAAACTGACTAACATATGACCCGGAGTTACACTCAGAAAGATAAAGCCTTAAACAGAGATATGTCTTTACTACGGGTTCAAATGCAAAAGACTATGAGTTTATCACTGTTAAAGTTCTCAGTTCCTCCAAAAGCAAACCCATTTTCTTTCTTGCAAATGATGACAACCTCAGGAACAGGGATTCTAGTTTACTTTCTTACTTTGCTTTTGGATAAATTAAAAAATACAATCATGGTTAAAATGCTCTAGAGCCTGCCAGGGATGGCTATGACACTTTCTCTTCAAAAAAAGATTTACATGTAGGTCATTAGTTAGCTACAAAAGAGTAAGTATAATGAGTAATTAAAATCCTGCTTCAATATTGACCATACACTGGTTTTTAAAAACTACTTCAGCCACGTTGTGGACAATGTCCCTATAAGCCAATTTATACAAGAGCAAAAACATCAACTTTCTTAGCCAATTATGAAAATCACATGTAGATTCTAAGACACAGACATAGACAATCTTTTAAGTGAAACAATTAGTCTTGACCTTCTTCTCCATCTTCCAAAAAGATGAGAAGCAAAGACTTACTGAAGAATATATATAAGAGCGTCAGGAAGCTCAATGAAATTGCTATGCCAAGATTTGGGTCAACCGTAAAAGCGAACAATAAGCCAAGCCCTCCACAAAGTAGCAGGGTAAGAAACACGATAAGCCAAGAAAACTGAAAAAAGCGGTTCAATCTGTTGTCCTGCAAATGTCTTCATTTCATCTGAAAGAGAAATTCATAGGAAACTTTGTTTCTGTTTTGTTTAAAAAAATGCACCTTTTAACTTAACATGTAATTTTCGTGATTTCAATAAAACTTTTACTGGGCATCTACTGCACACAGTCAATAGACTGCTGCTACTTAACCATTTTAAGCAATGTCTCTTGACAAACACAAGCATCTCATTCCCATGGGCCTACCTACACGCCCACTGTCTTGCTTCATACTGAGGATACACAAAACCCTTCTGCATATACTCCCATCTGTCAAGATTTTGTTAGGATTTCTTTTATGTGTTTTGTGTGATACAAACAATGTTGTTGTTTCTTCAAAGCATCTTCAAACTGTACACCACCACATGCCTCTGTGGTCCCCTCACACTCTAATTACATTCGAGAATCACAGTTCTCCAGGTGTGCTGAACCCAAATGAGCCCTACACAAGTCATTCTTTCTACACGACTCATGGTAATTTTTACAAGCAATACTACAACTTGCCTAAAAAAGTAAGTACGATTTTCCCAAGCAAATGATGTGTGTGTTGGGGGGTGGGAGGTAGCTGTCCAAGAAGCTCCTGACAGAGGGAACAAGTCAGCAAAATATCTGTTCTGTTGAGGCAAGAGCACACAGTGCTCCAGACTGCAGCATGGAGCTCACCAGGGAGCACCACAAACTGACAAGTGTGTGATGGGCTTATGAAATGTAGTACTAAGGGTTTTATCAATTGGATCTGTTTTTTTGAAAACTCAAATGACCGTGGACAGGATCACAGTAAAACTAGAGGGCAATAAACCCCAACAAATGTAGGACAGCAATAGTGTCACCCACATACCTAAACACAGAACTCTAGTTTCTCCTTTACTCCAGAGACTGTAAAAATATGCCCCTTACCTTCCAGTTTTTGAGTAAGAAAGATTTCCCACTTCCCCACTGTGCATACAACCCCACGCAAATGGGCGGCTGCATGGTAGGTTCACTGAGAATATCTGCCAGGGCACTGCTATATAAATCATAACCAAGCATGTCACCATCTGTTTCGGTAGGAGACAAGTTCCTGTAATTAGAAACACAACATATCTATACGTGAAGTGCACTACCGGTAGTAGAAAGGAATACCAAATCTCACTTATTGTTTATTAGAGAAAAAACACTTATTTTAAACATTTGGGTCTGTGTAAAAATAGGTTCAGGAATTCATAGACAAATACCTTATTGCATGGAACTTAAGATAATGATATTGTAAGATGCTTCATTTTTATGCGCAGTTTCAGAAAAATGCAGGCCAATTGTGCTGCGATGCTTTCTTTACCCACAGTTCTGAGGATGTTTTAAGGATGGCATGCAACCAAGGGTGGAGTGCTTAACTAAGAT